CTCTCTCTCTCTCTCTCTCCCTCCCTCCCTCCCTCCCTCTCTCGCCCTCTCTCTCTCTCTCACAGGAAGGTGAGTTGGATATGTTTGCCACCTCGAGTTATTTGTACAAATAATAAAGGTGGGATATAGGCAAATAAAATAAATACCTAACAGCCTGTTTTTGCCTTCGCTTCTGTCCTTCTGCAGGTCTCTCCCCTTTTTGGGACAATCTACGACGCCATTTACCTGGTCACCAAAGCCCTAGCCAAGGTAGCCCAGCCCCAAACGTCTGAACTCTCCGGAACGACCTTGATTCAACATGTCCGAAATTTGGACTTTGCCGGCTTCAGCCGCAGGATCCAAGTCGACAGCCAAGGGCGGCCGCTGGCCAAATACGTCATTCTGGACACGGATGGCAAAGAAAGTCACCTGTACCCAACTTACCTGCTGGCAGCGTCTTCGGGCAGGATGCAGCCTCTGGGGAGGGCGATCCATTTCCCTGGAGGGAGACCGCCCCCCGCTGATTCGGCCTGCTGGTTTGAACCCCAGGTCCTCTGCGAGAGAAATGACGTGTGTGAGTATCGCACTTTGGGAACAAGCAAAAAGGTTGCACAATGATCAGCAGACACGTACGCCAAGAACTTTCTCTGACTTGTTTTCCTGCTTAGGGACTCCCATTTCTTGGGGTTCTGGGAATGGTCACCTCCCTATATTTGGAGGGCTCAAAGTTCTCCTTCAGTGCAACAGTGGTTTATAACCTCTGGAACGGGAGGGTTACCCACCAACTATGAACGCCGTAACTGGAGAAGGGTTTTCGGTGATGGGTCCTTGATGCTTTCTGAGCTGGTTTGTTTCCTTGCAGATGTTTCATGACCCAACTAGGTAACATCATCCATGATAGAAAGGAGGAGGGTTGTGGGGAGGAGGAGGAGGAGGAGGAGGAGGAGGAGGAGGAGGAGGAGGAGTAAATGGTTGTAAGTCAAGGCTTACCTGCACTCGCACTCAAAGTGGTCAACTCTGGAGCAGGATTTAACCTTCACTGTTTGATTTTGCTGGAATTGGGGATGTCCAGTTTAAGGAAGAGAAGGACGAGGGGGGACATGATAGCAGTCTTCCAATATCTCAGGGGCTGCCCCAAAGAAGAGGGAGTCAAGCTATTCTCCAAAACGCCTGAAGGCAGGACAAGAAGCAACAGATGGAAACTAATCAAGCAGAGAAGCAACCTAGAACTAAGGAGAAACTTCCTGACAGTGAGAACAATTAACCAGTGGAACAACCTGCCTCCAGAAGTTGCGAGTGCTCCAACACTGGAAGTTTTTAAGAAGAGACTGGACAGCCATTTGTCTGAAATGGTATAGGGTTTCCTGCCTGAGCAGGGGGTTGGACTAGATGACCTCCAAGGTCCCTTCCAACTCTGTTGTTGTTGTTGTTATTATTATTATTATTATTATCTCTGTTTGTTGGCCAGATCCGGGAGTGGAAATTGTAATTCTGCTACTGTCCCCTCCTGTCTTCCTGCTCCTCTTCGGCCTGTACCTGGCCTGCCTCATCCGGTCAGTATTGATTTATTTTATTTTATTATTTCTGGCTTGCCACATTTGTTAAGGGAATCCCTGCAGGTGTTAAGTTAGTCATATAGTTGTTAAGTGAATCTGGCTTCCCCCCCATTGACTTTGCTTGTCAGAAGGTCACAAAATGGGATCACAGGATCCCCAGGGATGGTGCAGCTGTCATAAATACGAGCCACTTGCCAAGGGTCCGAATTTTGATCACGTGACCGCAGGGGATGCTGCAATGGTCATAAGTGTGAAAAACAGTCATAGGTCACTAGAGGTAGTCCTCAATTTACGACCTCAATTTATGCTGTTAAGTGAGAAATTTGTTTTATTCCATTTTACGACTTTTCCCGCCACATTTATTAAGTGAATCACGGCGCTGTTGTTAAACTAGTCACACGGTCGCTAAGTGAATCTGGCTTACCCCATTGACTTTGCCTGTCAGAAGGTCGCAAAAGGGGATCACGTGACTCCCCCCCAGAGACGCTGCAGCCGTCGTAAATACGAGCCCGTTGCCTAGCATCCGAATTTTGGTCACCTGACCCCAGGGGATGCTGCAAGGATCGTAAGCATGAAAAACGGTCGTAAGTCTTTTTTTCGATGCCGTTGTAACTTTGAATGGTCGCTAAATGAATGATTGCGAGTCATGTGCTATTTATGTTTTATCATCATGCAATAATACAAAAGTTAAGATGGGACGCAGAGTGGCGTGGTTCAAACTTCGCCTCTTTGCACTGCATAAAAAGAAGATGGAGCTTCAACTGGATTGCTAGGTCCGCCATCTTGACTCTTTTGACCCCATCCTTCAGACAGTAATAATAATAATAATAATAATAATAATAATAATAATAATAATAATAATAATAATGCATATAAAGTCAAAATTGAGAAGACAGCAACAGACAGTAAGTGCCGCCTATGCAAAGAAGCTGAAGAAACAGGAGACCACCTGGTAAGCTGCTGCAAGAAGATCGCACAGACTGACTACAAGCAGCGGTATGACAAAGTAGCAACAATGGTGCATTGGAAGATCTGCAAGAAATATCATTTGCCTGTAAGCAAGAAGTGGTGGGATCATAAAATAGAGAAAGTCATAGAAAATGATAAAATTAAACTGCTCTGGGACTTCAGAATTCAAACAGACAAGCACCTGCAACATAACACCCCGGACTTAACAATTGTCGATAAGAAAGACAAAAAAGTCTGGATAGCGGACGTGGCAGTGCCTGGAGACAGCAGAATAGACGAGAAAGAACTGGAGGAGATAACAAAATACAAAGACCTACAAGTAGAAATAGAAAGACTGTGGCAAAGGCAAGCAAGGGTAGTACCAATAGTCATAGGCGCCTTGGGTGCAATCCCAAAACAACTGGAGCACCACATGAACACCATCATCGGCATTGACAAATTCGCCATGAGTCAATTGCAAAAGGCGGCCTTAGTAGGAACCGCTTCCATCCTGCACAGAGATCTGTAATACCGTCAAACATCCACATCTGCCTATCCCAGGTCCTTGGTAAGGACTCGATAGGTAGACAAAATGCCAAATCCAGTCTGAACATCTGGCTGACTGTGCGATGATTAATAATAACAATAACAATAACAATAACAATAACAATAACAATAACAATAACAATAATAATGTTGGAAGGGACCTTGGAGGTCATCTAGTCCAACCCCCTGCTCAGGCAGGAAACCCTATCCCATTTCAGACCAGTGGCTGTCCAGTCTCTTCTTAAGTAACCAGCTTTTACACTGCATGGTCAGTCTCGACCCCATCCTCCACCAGGATTCCACTCCAGATTTTCCCCACCACCCGACCTGAGCATCCTTGATCTCTCAGGAGCTTTTGTGGGTGGCCCAATTAGCTAATGATTTCAGGAAATAAATTGTGCTAAGTAAAGAAATCTTAAAGAGCAATTATTGCAAGCCAGATGCTTGGATTCCTCTGACAATTCAAGCAGGGAGAGAGAATGTCTGGCTTCCTGCCTCACCTCTGCAGAAAATAATAATAATGCAAAATTATTAAGGGAGGCCAAAGAAAACCCCATGCAGCTGGACTCTTCCTATAGACCTGATGCGAGAGATTGTACAAACTTAGCAACCAAATCAAATATGTGTTGCCTTAGAGCAGGGGTCTTCAAACCTGGCCCCTTCATGACTTGATGACTTCGACTCCCAGAATTCCTCAGTCAGCATGGGGGAACTATGGCCCCTTCATAACTCATGGACTTCAACTCCCAGAATTCCTCAGCCAGCATGGAGGAAACTTTGGCCCCTTCATGACTTGATGACTTCAACTCCCAGAATTCCTCAGCCAGCATGGGGGAACTATGGCCCCTTCAGGACTCGTGGACTTCAACTCCCAGAATTCCTCAGCCAGCATGGGGGAACTATGGCCCCTTCGTGACTGGTGGACTT